AGAAGGGGAAGAAGAAGAAGATGAAGAAGGGGAAGAAGAAGAAGAAGAATGGGAAGAAGAAGAAGAAGAAGAAGGGGAAGAAGAAGAAGAAGAAGAAGAAGAAGAAGAACAACAACAACAACAACAACAACAACAACAAAAGCATAATGGTACACAAAGCCACTTTGAAGTCTACTTATTTGCTTTGCTAATTTTTGAAATGTGGTGGAGATTCCATAGGGTCTTAATACGGAAATAGCACCTTTTTCTAAAGTTTTCTAAGAAACTTCATACCGAAAACTTAAAAATGATTTAGCTATGAAACATTAAAAACCTTAGTGGATGCCCGTTCCCTCGACCGGACGATTGCCGAAACCGCATTGCAATGTGCTCATGGCACAACTGCGGGACTACTTGCACACTGCAGTACCAGCTCCGTTGATGGACGRCGGAGTAGAGGTTGTCAACCTTCACAAGTACATCGCGAAGATTGACCGCGAGTTCAAGACGCAACGGTACGACGACATCGACGCACCATTGCTATACATACGCATTCAGATCAGGGAGGCGACCTGCAGTGCCTTGATCGATTGCGGAGCATCTCGCAACTATACAGCTAGGACTTCATGGTGCGCGCTGGCCTTTGCCCACGTGTCCGGAGGAAGTCCCAGCCTACGCAAGTCACTCTGGCAGACGGTCATACGCACAAGTCAATCGACCGGTGCATTGACGCCGTCCCCGTGTACTTTGCCCCTCACGCAAGTGAGGCGGTGTCCTTTGACATTCTGGACACCAAATTTGACATGATCTTGGGCATGTCATGGCTGCGAAGCGAGGATCACCCGGTGAACTTCTTCAACCGCACCATTCACATTCGTGATCGGAACGGAGTACTAGTTCCATGCACGGTGCCTCTCCCTCATCCTTCTATCAACTGCCACGTGGTATTCGCCGCAAGCAAGCGAGCATCCATCATCAGAGACGACATCGAGGAGACGGGGGTATGTTTTCTCCACGCTCTCCCGCCCCGAGACGCTTCATCGACGGACTCATCTTCGGATACATGCATCACCAAGCTTCTTGACGCTTACAGCGACGTGTTCGAAGGCCCGCACGGAGTGGTACCGGATCGCCCCATCCGCCACGAGATCATCCTCGAGGACGGGGCCGTACCTCCGCGCGGCTGCATCTACCTCCGCGCGGCTGCATCTCCGTGCACAACTCGACGATCTTCTAGAGAAAGGTTGGATTCGGCCTAGCTCATCGCCATACGGTGCTCCTGTCCTCTTCGTCCGGAAGAAGAACAAGGACCTGCGGTTGTGCATCGATTATCGCAAGCTCAACGCGCAGACGATCAGGAACGCTGGCCCTCTCCCACGCATCGACGACCTTCTCGAGCGATTGGGCGGCGCCCAGTTCTTCTCTAAGGTGGATCTCAAGTCAGGGTACCACCAACTCGAGATTCGCAAGGAGGATCGCTACAAGACCGCGTTTAAGACACGGTATGGGCATTTCGAATGCCTGGTCATGCCATTTGGCCTTACGAATGCCCCAGCCACTTTCCAAGCGGCTATGACAACGGAGTTCCGACACATGCTGGATCGGTTTGTACTCATCTACCTCGACGACATCTTGGTGTATAGTCGGAGTTTGGACGAGCATGTGGAACACCTGCGCACCGTTTTGGAGCGGCTATGACAAGCCAAGTACAAAGCAAACCGCGACAAGTGCGAGTTCGCAYAGCAGGAGCTGGAATACTTGGGACACTATGTGACGYCSCAAGRCATCCGTCCGCTTGCGGACAAGATCGAGGCCCTACGAGTATGGCCCGAGCMCACCAACACCACGGACGTTCGTTCATTCATGGGATTGGCGGGMTACTATCAGCGATTCATCACCGGATACTCCAGGATTGCTGCACCTATGACGASGTTACAGTCGCCAAAGGTGCCATTCGTATTCGATGAYGHCGCACGCCGGTCATTCCAAGCACTTAAGACGGCTATGCTCATGGCACCCGTCCTTAGCATCTATGACCCCACCCTGCCGACACGAGTGACTACGGACGCTTATGGCTATGGCATTGGGGCAGTCTTGGAACAGCACGATGGCGATGACCGACACCTCGTGGAGTATTTCAGCCACAAAGTGCCTCCCATCAACTCGCTTGATGATGCAAGGAAGAAGGAGCTGCTCGCATTCGTCATGGCTCTCAAGCGATGGCGGCACTTCCTCCTTGGGCGTCGTAGGTTCACATGGGTCACGGACAACAATCCATTGACTTACTACAATATGCAGGGTACGGTGAGCAACACGATCGGACGATGGATGTACTTCATCGACCAATTTGACTTCACACCGAAACATCTGCCCGGCCTCTCAAATCGCGCAGCAGATGCACTCTCGCGAAGACCYGATCTTTGCGCTATGACACATCATGCCTTTGCATTCGACGAGGAGCTTCAGCGACACTTCATCCGGGCATATCACTCTGATCCGAACTTCGGCACGCTCTATGCACAGCTATCTTTGGATCACCCGTCGGCCAGCCATTACCGCATTGCCGACGGGTACTTGCTCCTCCACTCRAGAGGCAAGGACTTACTATGTGTCCCACGCGACCGTCGTCTTCGGACTCGCCTCCTCGGCGAGTACCATGATTCACGACTCGCCGGCCATTTCGGAGTCAACCGCACTATTGCACGGCTTCGACAGCGATTCCGATGGCCCGA